CTGTTGGAAATCCGGGCGGGCCATCGGCGAACTGTGCCAGGCATAGCACTTGAGCACCGTGCCGCGCGCTGGGCCGCTGCTGTTGCCTGTCGCTTCTGCAGGAGGTAGTGGTCGTGGTGGGCCTTCTGGGGGAGCTCCGCAAACGCCTCCTCATCGGTAAGCAGTGCGCGGTCGTTCTCCAGCTGGAGCAAGTGGCTGGCATTCGAATCCATCGTGCGAAGAGTGGCAGCGCGTGCTGCACCCTGACGCCATGCCGCTCGCGAAATCGAGCGATGCACCAGAAGCCGTGCCTCAGCGGGGCCTGGCCACGTTGGCCGCCAGGACGCCGTAGCACATGATTCCTGGTGGGGCGCGCCGCCTCGACCATGCTTGTTTTGATCGCCCTCCACGACAAGGTGGGGCGGAGGTGAAGTCCTTGGAGTGTTGGGAGAGGACGTTGTCGAACTTAGCGCACACGGGGAGCGTGAAGAGGACCCTTGGGATAAGCTGCGTGTTCTCCTTGCGTGGGGTCGCAACGTCAACGTGCAGCGCCAGGATGGCATGGCCACTGAGCCGACGGTCACTGAGAGTAGTAGCGTCATGCTGAATGTGGACCTCACATTGGAAGTCGAGAAACGCATGGGCAGGAAGGCTGCAGAAAATGCTGCCAATTCGCGTCTTCGTGGCCGTGCAAGGATCGTATCGTGTCGGTTCTCCAGAGGTGATCTCCGTCATGGGTGAAAAGTGTCGCCTCCAACTGGGTTGCTCAAATGTGCGTCCACCTGGGGGTGGGAAATTGCAGGGGCCCAGGGCGATGAGCTTGAACTGCAGGTTCGTCGTGAATGTGGAAGTCGCCAAGAGCCGATGCAATTCTATCCATAGGGCACTGCTGTGCCCATCACTGGGCAACATGCCAATGCCCGAAAACTGCCTTGCGTTCAGCAGCGGGACGGTCATAGTTGCGTGCATTCATGATGCTGGCCCTTGAAAATACTCGAGCGAGTGTAGCCTGCCCGCTGGCAGAACACGATGGGACACAATGATCTGGGATGGTGGGGGGGGGCCGGGGGCAACGCAAGAACCGGGGGCCACCGAGGGCCTGGGGATGCCCACGAGATCGTGCCAGTTGGTGTTGTCGCTGGAAGGGGGAGGTTTGACCTTCGCATAGGCGATGATGGCGACGGGGCCGAGGCCATGGGCATCGACGCTGACGGAGTAGAGGGCGCAGGACAGCCAGCAGGAGTCGCCGCTGGCGGCGAACAGACACTGGGATGTCGTGGAGCTACCCCCATCCCAAGTCCCTCAGTGTGGCAAGGGGGGACATTGGGTGCAGCTGTTGCCTTCGAAGGGGACCACCAGACCACGTTGTAGATGCAGGGCTTATCAATACTCTCTGGGGAGGTCCGGAGGATCTTATAGACAAGGTGCTCGGACCACTGCGGAAAGTCGTGCCTCGTGGAAATGCCGAAGCCGCGCCTGGCGATCGTGGCGCAGATGAGCTAGTTGATCGACGGGTCGCTGCAGAGGACTGTCCGCTTCGCCTGGCCGTGCATGTCGAGGGAGGGCTCTGCGCTGATATATGGGGGCCTTGCCGTAACCGGGGACGTGGATCGCGGAGGCTATGTCACTGCGTCCACAACGTGTGACAGGGAATCGGGAATGACGGGGTTTGTCGCAGTGGCAGCTGCGGCAGAGACCTGAGCGCATGCTGGCGAGTGCGCTGAGAGTTGCATCATCGAGGTGTCTTCGAAGTGGTTCTGGCCTCTAAGTATCCGTCCTCCAAAAATGGGGGGGCGCCAAACTCACGTGGGCGATTCGGGCCGCGCCATCCTCGATACCTTTCATAGAGCAGGCGACGGTGAGCAAGTTCGTGTTGGCGCTGAGGGCTGTTAACTGTTTCACTGAGGGTAAACATCCCGTTCGCATCCCGATACGCTGTGACCTCTTGCCGTGCCATTCTGCATGCGTTCTCTGCAAATCTCTGAGAGATAGCAGCGTGCGAGTCATCATCCTCAGTGGCAAAGAGCGAATCCAACCGATGGTGCTGAAGCTGTCGAAGTACGAATGGAGCGCACCAGTCAATCCTTTGCACAACATCATCTATCTGAGCGTCATCGAATAGAATGCTGGGAAACAAATGTTCCGAGATGTGGCCTATCGCATGCGAGAATTGGGCAGCGGGATCTGGGGTGGCATGATCGACGCGGGGAAGCGGCCGGATCAGATGTCGCTGAAATAGCGCCGGCCAGCAGGTGGAGTCCAGCGAGGAGTAGCTGTAGAGGAAAGGCCCAATGTAATCACCGTCGCCATGCGCTCCTGGGTCGTCAGACTAGGCATCGGAAGATAAGGAGGAACCAAACGAAGAGCTAGAAGAGGATGATGAACTGCTTGCCGAACCTGTTGGTGTACCTGGTGCCAATTGGAGTTGGCGGAGGTCAACGAGGTTCATACTTGGATCTTTGGGGATGAGGAAAGTCGTGCCACCAATGCCAGGATCGCCGCCATCATTGTGCATGCTATCGTAACGCATAGGGAGAGCTTGTTTTGCAGGGCGGTATCTAGGTGGATCACCGTGAACTTCTTGAAGTAGCATGATGTAGTTTTGACGCATTAATGGAAGCAGGGCAGCAAACTTGGCCTTGCGACGGCGGAGATTGACCGTGAGGAGCCCCCGTGCATTCCATATTGCCAGTCGCGGCGCCAGGCGGCCGCGATTGCGCTGAATGTCGCCCCCGCGAAATCCCTCGGTCCTCCGAGAAAAAGTCGTGGAAGGACTTGGCGATGGCAGCTGCATCCACTTGTAGATCTCGCGAAAGATGAAAGCTCCAGACCAGCTTGGACACGGCTGTGGCAGCGGTGCCAGCTTCCAACCGTGCGAGCGGAACACCGCCGCTGGTAATGCGCCCCTGGGGCGGAGATCTGCTCTGGGCAGGGCGTCCGAGAGGAGCCGACGACGCCGGCGCGTCTGGATCTCGCGTCAAATCTGCCGAGGGCTGCGATCCGCACTGGCGTGTAGTTGGAGTGCCTGCCCAGTGGCCACATGCGTCTGGAACTGCCTCCACGCGCCTCCCCGTGCACGTGGGCCGCGGGCGAGGGCAGCGGCTCGAGGAGCAGTGAGAGCAGGGCCTCCGAGAAGTCGAACGACGAAGCGCTTTGCGGGAACGTCGCCCGCGAGCGCAGCGCCTCCACTCGTGAGTCAGAAAACCACGCTGCGAGTTCCCGCTGAACTTGAGCTGGAGGTACCAGTTCGGCACAACCAACTGTGAAGACAGCGGGATCGGAGACTCTGTCGAAGTCTGCCTCCGCCACAGGGTCGGCGATGTGCACTTGGGCCTCCGCCAAAGCAAGTGCCCCTTGTATGTCGGCGACGCCCTGCTTCGCCTCGTCCTGGGCCTTCTCAGAAGCAGAAATGCGCTGCCGCAAGGATGCAATCTCGCCCTCGGTGCCACCGATGCGCCTGGAGAGGAGCGACTGGGAGTCATGGGTGGCTTCAGCGACGGTGCGGGCTTTGTCCGTTTTGAAAATTGCGAGGGTCGTGTCGACGTGGGCCGTGAGCCGGTCCTGCAGGGCTTTCGTGAGCGCCTCGAGGCCACGAGCTGCTGAGGCAGACGCCGATCCAGTTTCCGCGGTGCCAGGATGAAGCTGTTCTTGAACAGATGGCCGATCTGCATGTCGTCCTTGCCACGGGTCAGCACGCGCCAGAGGATCCTCGGCATGTGAAGGAAATGTGGCGGCGGCGTCGTGAGCAGCGGTGAGCGCGTCTTGCGAAGGAATCTGAACAGGAAGCGGGAGAGGTGCGGTGGCGCCGCCAGGACGCGGATGCGGATGGGGACCACTGGGGCCCCCTGCATCACCTCTTCGCTCTTCACGAGACTGCTGTTGAGGACGCTGCTGCTTGCGGTCGTAGCCTTGAGGCCGACGATGGCGTCGCCGTGCTGGCTCTTCCCGCGGAGATCTGTCAACACCTCCGCTTCTGCTGGCACTGCGCCGTGCACCGTCTGTCTCGGAGGAGTCCATGTGGCAAAGAGCAGCGACCAGAGGAGGTTGCCCAGCGCCAGGCACAGGAGGCAGCCGAATCCTCGCGGGGCGAGGAGATTACACATCAAGGTCCTGAAGGAACGGACATCGAATGGGAGCTTATTTTGCTGAGGCAGTCTGAAGGGAATCATTTTGGCCCTGAGCCAGGAGGATGCGGCAAAGAGAGGCGGAGGAGGGGGAGGAGGCAAAAAGAAGCGGGGGCAGGAGGATGAGGCAAGAGGAACAGCAGGAGGCAGTAGGGTGTAGGAGGAGGGAGCAAGAGGATATCCTCAAGCTAGCTAGACATTTTTTTATTTTCCTTCGGAGATCCAAAGAGCCTCGCCCTCTTTCCTTAGGGGCAGTCTTCCCAACCCGGACTCACTTTCGAAGGCCTCCAGAAGCCCGAAGTAGAGGAACAACACATTACATAAGCATAGACTTTTGGAGGTCCGCGCGGATCTCTTGGATCGGCGCTGGACGCACCCCCCCCTGTCGCGCGGAGCGCTGGAGGCGCCTCCAGCGGGGGTCCAGCGCCGCTCCAGGAAATCCGCGCGGAGCGCCAAACGCTTATGCTTAGATTGTTTTTCCTCTTCCGCGAAGACGCCCCCTGGAGGTTGGAATCGAGGGCAAGCGCCAGCGGCACAGGCCGCGCCATCCTCGGGCCACATCCACTCCAGGGCCATTCGGGCGCCCCCCCCACTCTCACCCCCCTGCCCCGTGTAGTCTTGCCCCTCGGGCCTGGAGGGGGCAGGCCATGGGGCATCTTCGGGAGCCTCCTGGGCGTGTGAACCCTCTTGAGCCTCCGGAGGCCTCCAGGGGCATCTGGAGGCCTCTAGGGATGCAAGATCCAAAGCGGCACTGAAACTTACCACCGCGAAGCCCGGCTCTCCCGCCTCCTCCGCAACCCCTTTGTTGCCCCTACGTCCTCATCGCTCCGCCTCTCCAGGAAGGAGGGTATATGGGAGAGGGCAAGAGAAGGACTGGCACCTCACAGTAGCAGTTTCTCATCCCTCCACCCTGCGGGATCGCTCATAGTACATCCTCGCCGTCTGCAGGTCTTGCTGCACCCCGAGGCCAAACTGGTGCATGAAGCCCACGTTGAAAGATCCCCTCGCCACGAACGCCTGCATCCTCGGGTCTTTGACCCCCATGTCGGCTGTTTTTCTATATCTCGCCAAAGAAACCTCATGATCCACAGCTTGAAGCTTGTTCTGCAACTCGCTGTGGAAAGGCGACGAGAAAACTGCATGCCCGTTGGCGCCATCATCGGCTTCGCCCTCCTCCCTGAACGAAACCGAAGCGCCCCATCCGTAGTAGGCGTAGTCTCCGAGGCGCAACTCGGACGATACGCTTCCCCGTTCCGCAGACATCTCGTAATAACGCTGCGCTAAGAGCTTGCCGTGCTGCCTCATATCATCCGTGTCCTGCAATGGAATGCGACCCGGATAGAAAAGGAGAGCCTGACCAGTATCAAACATGTGCGCAGCGTTCACCTGGGCAACCTCGTGCCCTGCCTCAGCGAGCTTCAGAAAAAGCAAGGCGGCCCTGTCGGGCAATTTGTCGACGAGCTCGTGCGCGTCGGCCAGATTGTCAGTGACCCATCCGCCTCGCTCGCAAACTGCCCTGAATAACTTCACTGCGTCGTCGCAATTTGGATTCGCACCAATGCCATTGAATTGCATTGTTGCTAGCGGGTACGCAGCGCGCGTATGGCCACCTCGCAGGGCGCGATGGAACCATTCCACAGCTTCATGGTAGCTCTGGTTCGTTCCCCTGCCAGTCATATACATGAACGCTAGATTGAACATGCCATCAGTCGAGCCACGGTCAGCCGATTTTTTGAAGTGATAAAAAGCTTTGGTATAGTTTCGTTCGTGCAAGATGGTGCCGTTGAAATATATTTCGCCGAGGCCGTTGTGCCCCAAAGGATCCCCCCGTAATGAGGCAGCAGACAACAATTCATACGCATTCTGTACATTTTGCGCTACTCCGAGACCGAGGTAATGCATGTAACCTAACAAAGCTTTGGCTTCCTTGTGCTCTTTCTTGGCTGCCACACTCAAATGCTTTCGCGCCTCGCCGTAATCTTGCCTGAAACCCTCGACGCCAAGAAGCCAATTTCTTCCGAGTCTATAGGCGGCGCCAGCATCTTCCGCCTTGGCGAGCTGCACCAAGAGACTCATCGAGGATCTGCTCAAGACTCTCCGCTCTCTCTCGGGCAGGTCGAAGCGGATGGGCTCCGTGGAGGCACCAGGGGGGGTGGGGATTCTCGGGTCGGGCGAAAGGGGGGGGATGGTAAAGGGGGGGTTTGAGAATCAGCTCACGTAACTGATTTTCCCAGCGCCTCCCGGCGCTGGAGGCGGCCATGTATCGAGGAACTGGCCCCTCGACGAGGCCGAAACCAGCTGCGTGCAGCAAACTTCGTACCCCCCCCTTTTCGCCAATCCCCCCAGTTCGTCCGGCCCGAGATTCTGTGCATGGAGGCGACGGTCTGCCTGGCAATGCCGATGTAGTTCAGCACGGCCGTGGTGCACGCCTCTCGGCGCGCACACACACTAGGGCTCCCAACTTCGCGCTTCGCGCTGCGCGAAGCGCGAAGCGCGAATAACTTCGCGCTCTCGCGCCGCCCTCCCAAAGGGAGAATAGGAGGACGAGGAGGAGGGGGAGAAGGAACGAGGACCGCGAAGCGCGAATAACTTCGCGCCCTCGAGGGAGCCCTACAGGGTGCGCGGCGTGCCGATCGCTGCGGCGATGCTGCCGAGGCGGCCTGCGTGCCTGTGCGGGGCCTCTCTCCCCCGCGCCCTGAGGAGGAGGAGGAGGAGGAGGAGGAGGAGAGGAGGAGGGAGGAGGAGGAGGAGGAGGAGGAGGAGGAGGGAGGAGGAGGAGGAGGAGGAGGAGGAGGAGGAGGAGGAGGAGGAGCCCGAGAGCCGCGCACCCGAGGCCACTCCGGCGAAGGGCGCCGCCCTCGCGTGCGGCTCGGCACGAGGGCGGGTCCCGAGGGGAGCGGGTCCCGGATCCCGGTGGCCTTCTCCTCGGGATCAGCTTCTCGCCCTGAGCTGTTTTCTGGTCGTCCCAGGGCCCGTGGAGGGCCCCAGAAGCCCGAAAGCGGCAACAAAAAAACACGACAGTCAACACTGATAGTACGAATGAGCGACTTTCCAAGGTTTCCCTTGCATCCTTTCCCTTGGGCCTATTCTTGGCCACTTTCGGTGGCCGCGCCCCGCTCGAAAAGTGTCGGAGGGCTCGCTTCCCTCAGGGCCCGTTTCCTTCGTGGCGCGCGGCCCGAGCCTGCGGCACGCCGTAGCCGTGTTGGTGCCGGTAGCCCATCGCCAGCAGCGCGCCAGGATGGCCGGCAGTGGACGCCGCGTACAGGTTCAGCTCGGGCGCTGCTCAATGAGGGGGCGATGAGGAGGGGTGGGGGAAGCGTGCGCCTTTCGTGCCCCTGTTGGGCCCCAGCCCCAGGGCCCCCCCCCCTTTAGAGATCCTGTCGGGCACAGAGGGTGTACATTTCTTCACCCGATTTATCGCCCCCCGCATTTATCGCCCCCCGATTACGCAGCGCCCGATCAGCACCGCGAGCGCCTCGCGCCGGAACACGTCGTCCCCCTCTGCGTGCACGGCAGAGTACAGCAAGGCCAAGTTGAATTGAGCCTCGCGCCGCGGCCCAGCCTCTTCGATCTGAGGCCCCGTGACCCTCCCCGAAGCAGGTCCTTGGTCCGAGAATTCGGACGATCGTTTCTCCCTGAACAGTGCTTGCATTTAAGGGGTCTTCCTTCTGGAATCAGGAATTGGGCCTGAGGGTCGGTCTGGCGGCTATGTGGCCGCCGTCGCCACCCTGTCGCCGCCCTTCGTCTGGGCGTGAAGGTCGGTCTGGCGGCTATGTAGTCGCCGTCGCCGCCCCGTCGCCGCCTCGTCGCCGCCCTCCATTTGTACCACGTAGGATCTCCTTGTCTGACAAGAAATCAAGATGTTCCTCCCCTGGAACTATCTGTACCCCATGGGATGCTGCATTTAACGCGTGATTCAGCCCCATCGATCATTCTACAAGTTCCTCCATATCACCTCACGGGAGCCCAGTATCGACATCCCTCTTTCATCCCTGTCCCGAAATTTATGCGCGCGCACTCATTTATCACAATTCGTCAATTGTCAGAAACCCCGTGCAAACGATGAGACAGTGTCCACGCACGCGCGTCGTCGCCCGCGCATGTCGAAATTCGTCAAACATTGAGAATGCCGTACGCGCGTGTCGACATCATTCCAACGCCTTTGCGCGTTTGCTGGGGGGGGGGGGCGCGATCCCTGTCAAATGAAACTGTGCGGGTCACTCGCGCGCGTCGGCCGCGTGCGCATGTCGAAATCCTTCCAGAATCTTCGTCGCCGGCACATGCGCACCATCATCTTCAGCGGCGTGATCATCATCGGCGCCGTCAGTGGCCTTGCCGTCGTTATGGTCATCATCGTTTCCAGCATCGCTACTATCATCATAATGTTTGCCGTCGTCGGTGTCGCCATGATACCGCGCCCGCCCGAATCTTCGATTCGCACTGAAGTGCCCGCGCGTCAACGCGGCCTGCCAGACCTGATGGGGAATCTCCAGCGGTCAGCGCCACCGCGGCCGCGTCGGTCGCGCTAGATGACCTGGTCGCTCTGTGTGCGAACCTGCGCGCGTGGGCGCGGCCGCAGGCATGCGCCAGGCAGCGCCGAACAGCCATCGCAATCGCCGCCGCATGGGTTTCCCAACCAAGTTGCGGGTGGGTGGGTGGGTGGGTGGGTGGGTGTGGTGATTGTGCGAGCAGTGGAGTAGATGACCCCCTAATGAACGTGCGTTAATTATACCACATACAATATTCTCTTTTCGGAAGAAGGAATTCTACCCCCGCCCCCGGAATTATCGCCCCCACCTGCCCTGGGATAGTACAAAGTACATCTGGTTCTGCCCGTTCGTTAATTCTAAGCATGAGTCCGTACCTGCCCAATTCGACCCGTTATGGCTCCACCCCTCGCCCATTTTCAAATGATACTATGCGCGAGCACTCGTGTATCTGGCGTCATCAGTGCTCACGAATCTCGTGGAACAGATGAGACAACATCCGCGCGCGCATCGTCACGCGCGCATGTCGGAATTATTTTAGAACTCTGCATATCGTGCGGGTTTCAAGATCGGGCTTCTCGGACACATATATACACAAATGGTTTACCAACCAGACTTTTGCAACACTTCTGCGCGCACTCGGGCGAATTCCTGCGAAACCTATGCGCTGTCAACATGTTCATCAACTGCGACCGAACGGGCCTTTCGCTTCGCGTGCCGCAATTATTCGAACGCCCGTGCGCGCGTGCTGGGGAGGGGCGCGGCCCCTGTCAAATAATGCTATGCGGGCCACTCGCGCGCGTCGGCCGCGCGCGCGCTCGTCGAAATCCATCCATTTGTCGCCGACAAGTGAGCGCCATCACCTTCGTCGGTGTCGGCGCGGTGATTCGCTTTGCCGCCGTTATCGTCATCATCGTCGCCAGTCTCGCTACTATCATCATCGTGTCAGCCGTCGTCGGCGTCGCTACGATACCGCGCCCGCCCGAGTCCTCGACTCGCGCTGAAGTGCCCGCGCGTCAGCGCGGCCTGCGAGACGCGTTGGGAAGTCCCCGGCGGCCAGCGCCACCGTGGCCGCGTCGGTCGCGCCAAACTAGCTGGCCGCTCTGGGCGCGAACCTGCGCGCGTGAGCGCGGCTGCAGAGATGCGCCGGCTTGCGCAGAGCAGTCATCGCAATCGCCGCAGCATTGGTTTTGCAGCCATGTTGCGGGTGGGTGTTTTGGATCATGGCGCGCGCAGTGGAGTTTGGCATTTTCGAGCCCTGCAAAATAAATTCTCGTTCCCAGAAAAGATTAGATTCCACAACTCTGCCGAGGCCAGCCAGACCTAACCGCGCCCCCTGGCGATGTGCAATTTACAGATGATTCTGCCCCATCGTTCGCTCGAGATGTGCACTCGTGTGATCCCAGCCAAACCAGTATTGACCCCCCCACCCCTTGCAACAAACACCATGCGCGCGCGCTCCTCCATCGCCAAACATATTTTTCAAGAAACCCATGCACAACGTCGGACGAAGTACGCGCGCGCAAATCTTCGCCCGCGAGCGCCAGAATCTTTCAAGAACCTTAGGTCCGCGCGGATTTCGAACTCGAGTGCTCCGAAAACATGTAAAACCAATGGTACCGCAACACACATTTCCAAACAAGCCTGCGCTCGCGTTCTCGCGACTTGAAAAAACCGTCGATGTTTCAATCGTGTCATCTCGTGCTACCAAACGTGCCCCTTGCGCGCGCATGTCGAAATTATTCGAACGCCCTTGCGCGCGTGCTGTCGCGAGAATCCCTAGCAACAGATCGGACGAATTGCATGCTCGCGCGTCGTCCCGCGCGCGTGCCCACGTTCTTCGGAGACCGAAGGTTTCGCAAAGATTTCGAAGTCGAGCGTCCCGAACAAGTGCAACACACAATGCTATCGCAACAAGCATGTTTTAAAGAACCCGCGCACGCGTTCTTGCGAAGTCTTAAGAAACAACGTGTTGTCTTTTCGAACTTGTCATCCAATTCGGCCAAATATGCCCCTCGCGCGTGCGTGTCGAAATCATTCGAAAGCCCTTGCGCGCGTGCTGGAGGGGGAGGGGGCGCGATTCCGATCAAACAATCACATGCGGGCCACTCGCGCGCGTCGACCGACCGACGCGAAGGCGCCGTCGTCATCATCGGCGTGATCAGCATCGGCGCGGTCATTGGTGTTGCTGTCGTCATCGTCGGTCGGTGCCCCAAACCCGGAAATTCTGGGCCGAACGTCAGAAATCTGAAAACGGGAAAGACAAATCCCAACCCTGGAAAAGGGCGCCCGTAGCCCAGCCCTGGGAAGGGACAGGCCCAGTCCTGTAACCCCCCGCCCGAGAATTTGAAAGCGCGACAGATGGAGGAGGAGGAGGAGGAGGAGGAGGAGGAGGAGGAGGAGGAGGAGGAGGAGGAGGAGGAGGAGGAAGCGGAGGAGGAGGAGGAAGACTACATACAACAAGAGGGGGCCCGTGCCCGGCACGCGCCGCCGCTCGGCGCGGCCCGCTGGCGCCGAGCGGCGGGCGCCCCGAGCATTGGAAAGCGCGGCAGGAGCAGATGGAGGAGGAGGAAGAGAAGGAGGAAAAGGAGTTCGAGGAAGAGGAGGCCCGTTGCCTTGCATGGGGAGTGACGCTAAGCATGTAGATGTCTGCCGATTGCTCGATCGGCTCGGAACGAACCCCAAACCACCGAATGACATCGGACACCGTGTGCACGCCATCTCTCGACAGACATCGCCCGACCTGGAACTGTGATTTCTGTCGGTTGCTGGTATGATTCCAAGCAGACCAACAATCGCCAAACTAGGTCGGGCCGTCTGTGTGCGCCATCCGTTTGCAGACAACGGCCGACATGGAACGGTGATTTGTATCAATTGCCCTGATGCTTCCGAGCAGAGCCAAATCGCCGAATGAGGTCGAACCACCTGTGCGCACCACCTTTTCGCAGACAACCGCCGACCTAGAACAAGGATTTCTGCGGGTCGCCCTGTGGACTCAAACCAAACCCGAAATCGCGCGGCGAAGGCAAACGGGCAGGCAAGCAACAGGGAGACAACCAGACGTGATCGACAGGCAAGCAAAGCGAAAACGGAGAGAGCCATCGGGCGCGCTTCGCGCGTGCTCGAGTTCTAGCTCGGCTTGACAGACTACCGCATGGGATCTTGATTATTGAAGTGCCTAATGCATCTCATGACCTTCTCGGAGTTCCTGCGCAAGCCTCGGGAAGCGTATAGAGGGGGAAATGCGGAAACCGCATAATCATCGTTTGATGATTTGGGGCCCTCGAAGGCTTCCTGAGATTTTTCTTCATAGGTGAAGGGGGCCTTAATTATGGTCGGTTGTGCAAAAATAAACAGGGGGTAAAATTTGAAACGAAACAGGAATTCAAACAAACAATTCCTTTTTTTCGAACGTACCACCTGGGCGTCAGTGCCCCGTTATACACACTGGATCCTCGTTCCTAAGTTTCCGGTTGTCACTGCATCTGCGCCGTCGAGGGGGGCGCCGAAGCCGAGTCGGCTGCGCGACGGCCTCCCCCCGACGCCGATGTGAGGGAAATATGAGGAGGCGCGTGGACCGACAGGGAAGTGTCGAGGCAGAGGTGGGAGGGAGTGGGCACGCTTGATAGGGCGAGCCTGAGAAAACAAAGGGGATATCAGTGATTCCTGTTTTCAAGTTCGGCCCCCACGGTGTAGTGGTCGCAAGAGGGGCGCGCTCGGGTTCAAGCTTAGCTGGATAGCCTAACTCATATAATCTCAAATGTTGACGGTCCTTGCATCTAGAGGCTCTCTTGAAGGCCCTGCGCAAGCCTCGGAGGTGTGTAACGGCAGAATTCGGAAACGCAGAGATCCGATTTCTGGTAGTCTTCGGAGACTTGGAGCCCTCGAAGGCTTTCTTGGGTCTTTCTTGGCTGGTGACAGGGGCCATAATCGTTGCCTGTTGTGCAGGCGTGGCGTGCGGGGGGCGGCATGGTTTTGATTGTTTTTCTTATAACATATGCCATGCTTGGGCTGCGGTCAGAAGTCTCCGGGATACAGGCCAGGATCTGCTGGGATC